CCAGTATCCATTCCAAACACTCCAGAGCCCTGCATGCTGAGGGGCCGGGGCTGAGCCCAGCCCTCGGTCCCAGCCTGCATCCACCTTGGCTGGGCCTCCTGGGAAATGTGTTATTCCAGAACTTCTGGGACAGGAGGGCTGGCCACAACCCTCCACACCACATGCAAATTTCCCTGGGGGGCGGGGGGGAGCTTGCCGTAGCCAGCCATCTCTGCGTCCCTTTTCCTATCTGACTTGACTTCACTTCCTCCTCCACCTCTCCTCTACCCTTCTCCTTCCTATCTTTTCCCTGTTCTTTCCATGTTGTCCCACCCCCTGCCCTTTCTCCCCTCTCTCGGCCATCTCCCTGGCTCCCCATTCCTGTGGATACAGCAAAGAGGCACTTGTGGCCACGGCTCCCTGTGGGCACACTCACATTCTTCGTGAACACATTCATGTTGCCCCTCACAGCCCAGCCAGCAGTTCTGAGCTGGATGTTGCATCCAGGGGGTGGGGCGCAGAGCCCTCAGGCTGGGGGTGTGCACTCAGCTGGCATGTTCTTTAGTGAGTATGTCTCCTGGTGTGGCTCTACTCACCCAGCAGATTCTAGAACAATACAGGCTGCTTCCTGGGAAAAGTGGAGAGTGTCTTTCCAAGGGCTTTGTCCTCAGCAAGCCGGGCACTGGCCTCTCCCCATGGCTGGTAGCCTGGGCTGGATCTCCATAGAGATTCTCTGTGCTGGGCCTTTGGAAGGACTGATGGCTGGAGGCTGGGCCCTTGCTTATCAACGGTTTTTCCTCACTGAGCCTGCAGCTTCCCCCCACAGGAACCCACAGCAGGTGCATGGCAGAGCCCCGAGGGACTCTGGGGTCCTGTAGATCTACTTTCCATGCCACTCCTGCCAACCTTGGGGAAGACAGTTTGCCTCTCTGAGTATCAGGTGCTCCATTTCCAAAATGAGATCCATCATTTCTAACTTTGTGTGGTTGTTTGAAGAATAAAAATGAGATAATTTAGGTGCAAGGTCCCATTCAGGATGAACGATCACTGCTGCTCCCGCGGGCCCTTTCTATTGAGACGTGCCCCAGAAGCACCAACAGCATCGTTCACAGACATTTGGTGGCAAACAAACTGTAGGGTTACAGAAATGAGAAATGCGGGACGGTGGGAGGGGTCAGGGAGGGCTTCATGGAGGAGGGGTCCATCATCTACTCTGAGGGAGCACCAGGCACTGCGCACACCCTGGTTAGTCTCATAACCCACCACCAGGGTGTGTGAGTGTGCCCACAGGGAGCCTTGGCCACAAATGCCTCATAACTACAGGGTGCTGGTCTAGGGTGGGAAACAGACTCAGCCAAGTTCAGCCAGCAAGCGCAGGGTTGATTTGAACCTGTTCTTTCTGACTCTGCAGTGCATACTGTTTGCTACAACTTCTTATTTCAACATACACAACAGTTAACAGAATGGTGTGATAACCACACGCCATCTAGGTCAGTGGTTCTCAACCTGTGGGTCGCGACCCCTTTGGCGGTCGAAGGACTCTTTCACAGGGGTCGCCTAAGACCATCCTGCATATCAGATATTTACATTACGATTCAGAACAGTAGCAACATTACAGTTATGAAGTAGCAACGAAAATAATTTTATGGTTGGGTCACAACATGAGGAACTGTATTTAAAGGGCCAGGAGGTTGAGAACCACTAATCTAGGTGAATGATAGTTTTGCCACACTTGTGTGTGTGTGT